AAACGCACCCAGCAAACTCATGATATCCCTGTTTGGGTTTCCCTCAGCAAGTGCAGTATATTTCTCACTTAACAACTGCTTTGCGACATGACCAGTTAAGTCGCGGACCATTCTCGCATGTTTCAGTCGTTTGATTGGCGCTTTCTCAACAAACAGTCGTACAAGCCATATAGGCAGCCATTCCATCAGACATAATGATAGGGTGCTATTGTCGGTAGCGACGGCGAAAGTATCAAACCTGGAAGGTGGATTGACCATCAGAGTATTGTCTCTCGAGTCAAAAAAAAAGTTGAGAAGACTGACAACATATTCGTGTATGCGACGGTTAGAGGCTTGGCCGAGCCGTCGAGGGCCCCAAACTGATAATCAAATGCCGCTAAAACTGTTGTCGGGCGAAGGACCAAATAAGATGTGATTGTAAGCAACGTACCCTCGCCAATGGCATCCAACGTTGCACGGGACGTCCACGAAGGAATATCGATAACGACGGACTGTTCATCAGTTGTGGAAATCATCTCCCTCCACTTTGATGTCATCTTCGAATAAACAGGATGTTCAGAGATTTTTACGGCATGTATAAATTAATAACATTTACCCTCCCAGCATGCGTAAAAAACACCGGTACATAAAATTTTGCTTCGGGACCTCCGAAACCTGGTAGGAGAACTTTGCGATGTCTCTTGTGGTCCTCACCTGCTCAAACCAGTCGAGATTAGCATGCAAAATTGTATATTTTAATAGCTCACCTTCGGCGAAGAAAATTCCGATCCCTGTCATCAGTCGACCGAGCTCCTTACGACCTGGGGATTTGATAAATCTGTAGCCACTAGTTTGATATATATACTGAAGGGCTTTGGGGTCGGACACCAGGAGGCGATCTTCCTGCAGGAGGAATCGGGATCGACCGTCAGCGAATAGAAAGCTACTGAACATAAATGTATCTTACTCCCAACGCCGCTCGTACTCGGACGATGTCGCCATATTGTTCTTGCCATTTGAAGTCCATCTAAGTCTGGCGTGAACGACAGAATGCACTGGTTCGAATTCATCAGTTTACTTCTCCTGCTTCGCCTTTGAGAAGTTCAGGCAGGTTTCCTACGCCGACATGAGAAACAGCTTGAGACGCAATATGGCAATCGTACCATAGATCCAAGAGTTCCATTGAGGCCCAGGAACACTGGCAATGGATGCGCGTTTGAGTTGCTTGTACATCAAATACACTGCATAGAGCAGGCAAAGATACAACAATGCGAGAAATAAAGCCATGTTCAGGAGTGATACAGTAGTACTTGCGCATGTCTTCGGGTAGAATATATAGTCATCAGAGTATGCTAGTAGCCGATCACTGCCGGACAGAAACGAAAGCCTTGCGTAGTAATGAAAGTTGTCCGGCCGCGTAGATACGGGGGTCGTCACGAGGTAGCAAAGCATTCGCAAACATTTTAACATACTCAGCAAGTTCTGTATCATTTGAGCTGAATTGTATAGTAATTCTTATTTTTGTCAACGAACCGTGTTACCGATAGACCCTAAGATAGAAGAGTTGGATGTCAGACATGCTGACACTAGTTACGTTTCAAGGACCACCTAGGTTGGTTCGAACGCTCAGTCTGCTTTATTTGGACTGAAAAAGCCCTTTCAGGTAAAAACGAATGCTCCTTAGGCAGTGCCAATAAGACTTCGGTGGCAGTGTTTGAGCTTGATGATACTGCGCATAAGACCAGCCGCATCCTTAGGCTATTCCGTGAAGACCTGTGCCGGGAATTGCGTGATCACCGGTGAATTACCGTGTATACCAATCCCTGAAATATCATGGAAATGCATGGTGATATCCGTAAGCCCAGGTCGACAAACAAAAAAGCAGACTGAACAAGAGACTGAAATTTTTTCAAAAAAAAAAAACTTAAAGGTATCCGATCACGTGGATGAGATACTCGGTTACCGGACCGAATCGCGACATTGCCACTGAATGCTACGACGACTGCCGTCTTCCTTTCTCAATGGTGCAAGGATTATGCAACTGACTTTGATATGTCTTCTTTGAGTTTAATTGTCTCGCATGCCGCAGAATGGCCCACTGAGCAATACCATTTGCTCAGTAGTGGGTACTGCATCTCCTCTAGAACCTTCCATTCGGCAGTATTACTTCAAGTGCACAAATGTGTCTCTATGTTCCCTCGCCGTCTCCGACTTCGCGAACATCTAACAATTGTGCGAAAACTGTAGCTCCGAAAAGGCTAGGCGAACCGTGGACATGAGAATTAGCGTTCAACGTTAAGCAATTGACCAGAGTGCTAGACAATCATCACAGTGTTACATGGACTATCTTGTGGTCAGATATTTTCGGAACAGAAACAAAAAGCAATGTTTCGATAGACCAGCAGGTAGGCATGCCTCGGATGTATATTTATCAGGATGCTCATGTCAACGAATCACAATCCAAGGTTCATTGGCGAGACGCAATCGTTACTCTCAATGGCAACTGAGAACCTTTCTGCACCTCCCCTTCCACCGTCGGCGCCATCATACCACAAGCCTCCCTCCGAATCCGCTCAGATTCCTTGGTCAACGAAAACTCAAAGTTATTGATGACCTCTACAATGAACGCGTGGAGTTCGAGGACACTATGAATTTCCGTAGTTAGCGTTCAATAAAAGAGACACAGCGAAGACTCCATACGCAAATCGCCAGCCGATACAAGACCTAAGTCCTCCAGAAAACGTGAATCTATAGCGAAAATGTTCAGCATAGTACTGCGCCTGCAATTGAAGCTAGATCGCACAAGTTCCCGTAGACGCCAATTGGTACCTCCTTATTAGTATTTCCCGCGAGCCACCGAGCGGGATCGAAAACATGTGCATCTTCTCCCCACACACTTTTGTGCCTTTCCGTTTCGTATAATCAGCGAATACCACAACGCATCATAGGCGGCTCCCACCTATTGTAGCCAGCAATCGATGCGATGATGGTTGTCCCCTTGGGTACTGCTATCTCTTGCACCACCTTTCCCGTCGTCAAAGTCACAGGCTTGCTCAATGGGATTACGTTGTCCTGAGCTGCCTGCCTAACCGTATTAAAAACAACAGGATGGAATCGAAGCACCTCCTGCAAAACAATGAGCCCGAGGTCATAAATGAGGCCTATCATCTCAGCTAACCTTCACGACCGCAGTCAGATAAGGCATGCTATCCAAGTCCTGGACGGAAAACTCGGTATCACCACGAGCAAAAATGGCTCTTTCTTTCTCTCTGATTTGGGTCCTTAGCCGGTCTTGTACTTCAGGGCGTCTCGCGAGTTCGAGAAATGTCCAGGAGAGTGCAGTGGCAGTCGTTTCGTGGCCCGCAAACATGATCGTGCTATGAGTTTCAGTCTCAGCGATGAAGCTCTAGTTGAGGTATTACGCCTACTTCATCTGACCGACTAGCTCTTCGACGCTGAGTTGCGTCTTTGGATTTTCCGAAAGATTTGCTTTCACTGCCATTATGAAGATCAAGTACATGTAAACCGGCAAGCTGAACAAAGAAAGCGCACCCAACAAACTCATGATATCTCTCTTGGGTTTTTCCGCGGCAAGTGCTTCATATTTCTCCTTCAGCAACTGCTTCGCGACCTGAACGGTCAAGTCATGTGCCGTTCTAAGATGCTCCAGTCGTTTGATTGGCGCCTTCTGAACGAAAAGTCGTACAATCCATTGAGGTAACAGGTCCATCAGGCACATAGATAGGGCACTGTTGTCGGTAGTGACGGCGAAAGTATCAAACCTGGAAATCGGCTTGAGCGTCAGAGTATCGTCTCTCGGTCAAAGTTTTTGAGAAGGCTGACATCAAATTTGTGTACGCGACGGTTAGAGGTTCGGCCGAGTTGTCGAGCGCGCCAAACTGATAATCAAATGCCGCTAAAACTCTTGTTGAGAGGGGAGAGGAAATGAGATGTGAGTGTGAGTCTAAGCAACGCACCCTCGCCGATGGCATCCAATGTCGCACGGGACGTCCACGAATGAACGTCGATAACGGCACACTGTTCGTCACTCGTGGAGATCATCTCCTTCCATTTTGACGCCATCTTCAAATCAATGCACATCTCAATGGAGAATCGCCACAGATAAATACCGCTTACCTTTCCGGATTGCGTGAAAAAAACCGGTACATAAAATTTTGCTTCGGGACCTCCGAAACCTGGTAGGAGAACTTTGCGATGTCTCTTGTGGTCCTCACCTGCTCAAACCGATCCAGATTCGCATGCAAAGACCGTGGATTTTGACGGCTCACCTTCGACAAAGGCAATTCCGGTCCCTGTGAGCAGCCGTCGGAGCTCCTTACCACCTGGGGGTTTTATGAATCTATAGCCGCTGGTTTGATATATGTACTGAAGGGCTTTGGGGTCAGACACCAGGAGACGATCTTCCTATAGAACGAGATCGGCACCCAGCGTCAGCAACTGGACAGTTAGTGAGCAGAAGGCGGCTTACTCCCAACGGCGCTCGGACTCGGACAACGTCGCCATACTGCTCTTGCCATTTAAAGTCGACCTAAATGCAGCGTAAAACTTCGATAGGAACTAGTTCAGTTTGATCGATTTACTTCTGCCGCTTCGCCTTTGAAGAGTTCAGGAAAGTTTCCTGTCGAAAGATGAGAAATGGCCAAAAGGTGTGGTACGTCACAGCGTACCATAGAGCCAAGATTTCCATGGTGGCCCACGAATGTTGGCAATTGAGATGCGTTTAACTCGTTTGTATACGAGAAAAATCAGACAGATGGACGAGAGCGCGAGGAGTAAAGCCATGATTAGGGTTCAAGAAGATTTTGTGTACAATATATACGCGCTCGCACTCGCACCCTATCACCGCATCGAAGAGATTCCCGGCCGGACAGTCATTCCTTTAACGTTGAGAAAACGGACTCGCTATGGGTCGTCGCACCCGTCGAAGAGATTCCCGGCCGGACAATCTTTCCTTATAACGCTGCGAAAACAGACTCGCTATGGGTCGTCGCACCCGTCGAAGAGATTCCCGGCCGGACAGTCATTCCTTTAACGTTGCGAAAACAGACTCGCTATGGATCGCGAGTTGTTCAGTTTAGGTCATTTGCAACTTTTTAGCGATACATGACGTTTGCGAGGTTTGAGCTGAATTGTACCGTCTACTGCGGATACCTATAGACCTGGTGATAGTTTGAGAACAACCGCACTGGCAGTAGTAGGGCGCCTCTTACTAGTACTATTCAAACCTTGTTCAAGTGACGTTCAGGCCTCAAGCCCGGGTATATCTTTCAATTACTTACAGTCTCGGAATGCTGTACAGTGGCTTAGATTGACAGAAAGTTTAAATGACAGCCTGAGAAATGCAGGAGTGTCTGTGGGAGTGCCAAGGCTGGCTGTGAGAGAAAGAACGCGGAGAAGTTGAAGATGAGTTACTATTACAAGTCCAACTCTCGGCCCGCTTACCGGAACGACGACGAAAACAGAAGAATCAAAGCTAGACCACGGCAGACCAAGACACGCGGCTAACCTCGGCCCGTCGAAACGATGGAAATGTTTTTTGTCTATACAAAACATACAGCACGACTAACTACAATCAAGTATCCCTACACACAGATTTCATTCATTAGTCTACATCCATCTCTGAAGGCCCATTAGGCTCCTCCTTCTTGGGAGGTTCCTCCGCCGGCGTCTCATTCCCACTCCTGGGCGTCCCAGTCCCGCTGCTAGGAACCACCGGCGGCTTAGGCTTAGGCTTCGTCAAGATCGGCGTCGCAAAGTAGATAACCTCATCCCTTTTCTTCGATATCTCAGCACTCGTCAACACAGGGTCCACGTTCTTCGCACGCTCCGTCTGCCTGATGATCTGATCCTCAAGCCACTTTTGCACAGTCGCGACCTTCTCCACGACGGATTGCTTGTCTTTCTCTTCGATATGGGAGAATTTGTCGTCAGTGGAGGTGGCTTGGGACATGTAACTGTTGAGGGTTTCGCGGAGTTGGGTGATGGCTCGGACGCGCTCCTCAGATTCGCGCCAGCGGAAGGTGATGGGGTCACCGAGGACTTTAAGGGCATCCAGGCGAGTGACGTAAGCTGATTTGGTCGCGTCTTCGCCTTCTTCGGAGTAGAGCCAATCTTCTGCATCTTGGAGAGCGGCAAGGAGCTTCTCCTTTTCTTCAGGCTTCACAAACGGAGCGTATCGATCATCGAGCTTGCCACGGGTGTCATAGACATACTCTTCGAGGGCGTTTTTGCGATCCTGGAAGAAATGAGTCAGTCTGCGCCAACGACACATCATTAGGGCACACGTACCTCAGTATCCATCACAAGCTTGTCGCTGGCGTGCATCTGCGCCTCTTGCTCTTTCAAGGATTCTACAAGACTCTTGTCCAAGCTAGACGTGCCGGAAACAAACGGAACGTCGTGCTTGACCTTCTTCTTTTTGGGAGGAGCATCGGGAGGAGCATCAACATCCATATCTTCTTCCTTCTCTACAATCTCGTCAACGAACGCAGCCTCGAACGACATAAGACCGTTCGAATTCAACCTCGTCTTGACCTTCACGGGAGTATCACTGTTGCTGACTGCAGGAATCTCCTTGGCTGTGAACTTGGCAACCCAAGGGTTAATGCTGCCAGGCAACAGAGAAGGTTCGTCATACATAGCCTCAACAGTGAATGGCTCCTTCTTGTAGAACGACAGAATCTTTGATGAAGGAAGCGCATTACCGCGGGGGAAGACCAGAAGCTCGGTATCCTCCTCAGGCGAGTCAGGCGATGCTTCCCAAACCGTTTTGATAGGATACGTGGCGATATCCGTGAAACGGAAATCACGGACACGGAAGACGGGGGAAAGCATAGCACAGGCAAAGGTGGCACCGCGCGCAACGGCCTCATCCTGGTTAAGGGTGGTGGAGAGGGCCTTTCCGAGGAAAGCAGATTGAATGCGAGCCCGGACGGCAGGAATACGCGTGGATCCACCAATGAGTTCGACTGCATCGATCTGGTCAAGAGTGAGTTCCGATTCCTTGAGAGCGTTTTCGAGCGGTGTAGAGATGCGATCGAGGACACTGGCGATAAGGGCTTCATACTCTTCGCGGGTCAGCTTCGAGGAGGCGTCAATGTCGTTCATGATAGATTCTATGTTGAGAGGCGCCTCATGATTAGCAGAGAGCACCTTTTTCAGGCGTTCGCATCCCGCGGCGAGACGGAAAGTAGCTTTAGGGTTTGACATGACGTCAATCTTGTACTTTCCCTTGAACTCTTCCGAAAAGTGCTTTACTAGGGCGTAGTCGATGTCTCTACCCCCGAGATTACGGTCGTAAGCAGTGCTCTTGACGGTGAGCTGGCCTTTTGAAAAGGCTACAACGGCCACGGACAAGCTGGAGTGTCCGACGTCAACAAAGACGACGTTACGGGGTGAGTCGGACTCTGGGAGGTCGGATTTGGTGATACCGTAGCCCAGGGCGGCAGCGGTAGCATCGTTGATGAGTCGGAGAACGTTGAGACCAGCGATAGCTGCAGCATCAAGAACAGCACGACGCTGAATGTCAGTGTACCATCCCGGCACAGCGATGACAATGTCGGTGACACCCGTCTTGAGCTCGTTGGCAGCAATATCACGAAGTTTGGCGAGATACATGCCGACGAGCTGGGTAGCTGAGAAGGATTGTTTCTCTCCGAGATATCTCACCTATAAAACATGAGCAAGGCAAGAAAAAAAAAATAAGACGGAAATGCGGCATACATCGACACCAACAGAACCCTGGACGTCGACCAAGGATGCATTGATAAATTTTTTCTCGATATCCTGAACATCTGTATCATTCAACGTCCGGCCAACAAGCCGCTTCAGAGAGCCGATGGTGTTTCTAAAATTTGAAGTCTCCTGCGTTTTGGCAGCCTCGCCAATGGAACGCTGTTTAGGACCGAATGCAACCAAGGACCTGCAAGAACCCGGATCAGTATCCTCGGTGTTGTTTAAAGTATAGCTACGCACGGTGTTGCACGATTCGACACTTCATTCGTAATGATATCGATGCCTCGATGCCTGGCCACACCAATCTTTGGAATATCAGAAAAAAATCGATCTCGTATGCGATGGTCGAGGGAACGCACCTTGCTATGCAGACAGCCAAAATCAACACCAACAACGGCCATGATGGATATAAGATGCGATTACGATAGAGAATTAGTGGGTCGTGGTCGTACAGAGAAGAAAAAATCTAGCAGAGGTAAGGGTGTGACGAATGCCGGTGACAAGCCAATTTGACTGCTATTTTTGGATTCTGTACCCTTCTGGATGTTTCTATAGCCTTCTACGCCATCTCTCACAGTGAAGGCGATACAGGGCCTTACAGGACGCGTCTATTCCAATAGCATACGGTCAAGAAGCACAGTAGCTGGCCCTTGAAATCAAAGCATATCATTAGAACGAATACTGCCAGATTTCAATATATGTATTCCTCTGATTACCTGCCAGATGTGCAGAGTTTATTGATATTGATTAATTACGGTATGTGTGGGGCAATGCACGCCCAAAAAATAGAATTATCGTTCTGCAACGTGTCATTGTGCCCAACAGCATATCCCAGCATTGTTGTTCGAGGCTATGTGCGTAGCTTCTGCTGTTGAAATCAGCTTGTCATCCCATGCTTCCCATCAGCATCTCCCAAGAGGCATTACACAGGCTTTCTGACCAAGCATCAAAGAAATAACACAAGGTTTGTAGACGACATACGGTACTCTCATTAATGAAAAAAAAAAAACAGAAGGACAACATAGCTTTCAAATCTAAGGCTTTCGCGACGAGGCCTTTTATTGATACAGGATTGATAGAGGGGCCGATTGTACATGGTATATGTGACATTGGCAATCGTGCTCTGGGCTATGAAGACAGTAAGAACGTCACTGAAAGTAAGAAGCGCAGTAGAACGACCTTTCTGACAATCAGAGGTGATTATAATGACACGAATATGGGTGTAATGATCCCATGTGGAAAGCTTAGCCAAAAGGAACTGGGCTGAGGAGGAGCGTCGGTTTCGTTACGTGCAAGCCACGCGTGTAATTTCTTATCAATCAATAGAGAGTCGAAGTTTCCTGGCGTTACTGGCGGCCGTTTTCTCAAGGACATCATAGAAAATACTTCAATGGCCCGCAACGAACCACTCAAAGGCAGTGGTTAACGCAGCAGTCACGTTTGGCTGAACCAAGGCTGCGACGAATACAAAAGCGTTGTGCCTCTAGATGGCTCCCGCAAACTTGACCCAGACCTCGTCCATATCGCCAGGTCCTTCTTCGTTGCCAGACTATGATCATTACAACTGAAAGAACAAGTATTTACTTAAACGAGAACAGGGAGGGCACCAGACCAGGCTTCTGAAGGTCTCGATGCTGTCATCATTTCGTTTCCTATCGGTGCTATCCACAACCCATATACTAGTCCCCCGCCGATGTCTCAGAACACAGTCCCGGCATAGGGTAGACGTCATGAAAACCGCAGGCAGTTCCCAGCAAGTAAGCTTTCGACGGTGTCGACCGGTAAAAGATATATCTACAGTCTCCACAGTATATCCAACGGTAGGAATGATCGGAATACCCTGGCTGAGTTTCCGGAGGTACGAGAGTGTCATCTTTCCAGAATAATCGGGCCCAAAGATGATGACCCAGGGTACTGGAGAAGCAGCAGTCGATGAGCTGACGAATCATCGTGCTCTAAATGCTGGTACAGGCCACTTCGTGGATAATAAACCAACGTTTTCGTGGGCACACGTCAGTGACACGGTCCATCCAATGTTATTGGGGGCATAGGACGTCGTACTAGTGCGATATCGCTGTCATTCCCGGTCCAAAAGCAGTTATGCGGGCGCGCTCTAATCGTGGGAGAACTGGTAAAGCTTCGGATAGCGCTAAATTTGATTCGGATATAGTCTAAAACTTAATCGAGGGACCGGGGCGGGGGGTATGATCGCCACTTAAAAATATATGGTTGCTGAAGCCGGCATCCTGTGTGCGCCTCATGATGGACGGCGACTGACTTCCTCTACCATCTTGACATTTAAAGCACTTAAATAATACTCCCTCATTTCTCGTTATTTATGTAATATTCTATGCCTTCGCAGGGTTCTACACCTACCACACTCTCTAATACCCACAATATTCCTTCTGTTAATTCTCCAGAGTGGATGAAACGAATTCTTAAAGAATACCATCATATTATACTCCTGAATCATAAATCTATGTCTCTGGGGACACCCCAAGCACATAGAGCAAGAGAGAGGGACGACACGACGTCTTTGGTGAGCACAGATTCCAAGTTTGGATGTGTGCGCCCCGGATGCCGAATTTGGCGTTGAACGGAAAAGTGGCGTCGGGGATCATATCTGATCTCATAAACAAGCTGCGTCTCCACCGGTATCTGCTTTGGGAGGTGTTGGGATTTTGCTGGAAAGTTCTAGAAAGGGCAATCCGGCATCATGCTGAGAGTTGATGAGTAAGCTCAAGAGAAAGAGAAAGTTGTAGTAAATTCTAGATATAAGCCTGGAGAGTATAAATACAAGCTCTGCAGGAGCTGTAGAATAACAAGTTCATACCATCTGGCCTTACCAGCTTGGAGTCTACCCTGCACAACACCCAGAATTTCCAACACTTTCCAAGTGGTCATCTCTTACATTTATTGACTGCATTCTTGATGCAGTTGAGCAGACTCACCTGAGTGATATTCCTGCCTTTATGGTGATGTCTCCAAAGGCTTCTCCTCCTACTGCTGGACATTCCCATAACAATCATCTCACAAAAGCCAAGATCTGCACATTCCACTTCCATCTTTTACTTCCCATTCCTGTACATTGAAAAGCATTAGTGTATCTCTTAGCATCCTCCCATAGCCTATGCTAGCAGTCAAGGTCCTGAGATGGGCAGAACAACAACATCCTGTTGTTTCTTGCTCTGAGCACTTGCACCATTATTGTCAATCCAACATCAAAGATGAAATCCATGTTTTGCTGTACTGTGATGGATGCAACAATTTGAATCTATTGTGCCCCCAGTTATCTTGTGCTCCTTTGTGAAGTACATATTTGATATATTTCTTCTCTTTCAGTGTCTGCATATCTTTTGTCCTTATAATCAATGTTCCTTTACATCATACTTCAATGTATCCCATGATGGACCTGTACTCTATGAGATGTATGCAACTAGTGTTGGATATTGAGGTTATTAAGGCTCAATCCAAGTTAAGCCCTTAATACTTATCAAGGAGGCTTAATTATTTAAGTGTCAATATAAAGGCCTAATGTTCAGAATACCTATTTCAGCATGTATATAAAGAGTTCAGAACCTCTTCATTTATAAGCAGGTGTTCTCTTGGTCTCATGTTGTAGTCACACAACCAAATATACTTGCTTTCATGCATTTTATACATGATTCTGAGATGAGCAAGGAGGAGAACATGTCAGAGGCAAACTCAAAGCATCACTGGAATGAGATTGGAAAAAGAGTATAAAATGGACCTGCTGGTGGTAACAATCAGATGCTCCCTGTCTTTCTAAAAGATAGTACCATACAACAGTATGGCCACAGCACATGGCTTGCCATGCCACGGCTCTGGACCCGGCCGTTGATGATTGGGATCTTGTGCCAGTAACAACACCAATACCGCTCCCCCCCCTCCCGATCAGAATACAGACTCTACATTCTTACCTTCATACGGATCGTGGACTCAGGTTTACGAGACTAAGTCAGAATAGTTTTGGTTAGTTCAATTGTATGGGTACGGGCTGCAATGGAGAAACCGGTCAAGCTTCGGATAGGATCAATTTCGGCCTTATCGAACTCGTAAGTTCCACTGCGGCTTCATTCTTATTGATAGAACTTCACCTTTGCCTGGCCACGAGCAGAAGTTCGAACCCCGGAAAGAATTATCGCCCCCCGCTTACGCCTTTTCTCTGACATCCAGGTCTGTACTGAAGGCTTGATTGCAATACGGGAACTAAAAGGAGACTTGTATGCATTTCGACCCCAAATCTACTAGATATGTAACTCTTAATTGCCGAAGCGACTTTATTTCTGCAACCAATCAGTCCTAGACTCGGACTCTTGGCAGGTACTAATTCTATGACTGAGCATCCATAGGACCTTCCTTCCCGATTTGGGCCCGCAATCAGTGGTATTTTTGTAGGCTTCAGAACTGCTATATATTTCACCAATGGATGTTCAGGCTACCCAGAATCATGGCCTTCCTTGTTGCGTTATGGTCTCTTTTCCTGCTCAGTACTGTATATCTTGTGTACAAGCGCCTTACTCGCATCTCACTTGCTAATATTCCTGGGCCGCAATCGAAGTCCTTCCTCTATGGTATGATTTAAACTCCCATATCCTCCCATTCTTCACCTCATCGTTCGCAAATGCAGGAAACCTGCTGGAACTTCTCAGAGGCCAAGCATCAGACGTAAATCTATATCTCTTTGCTGAAAGTTATTGCCGTAATTTCATTTTACCGTGTTCAGGTAGACTTCAAATGGCAAGCGATGTATGGCGATATCATTCGCGTCCAGGGACATTTGGGGGTAAGTTACACTACGTGCGGTATCTGTCAAACTGTTCACTCATGGACGTGCAGGAAGATCGTCTTCTTGTCCTTGATCCCAAGGCGCTGCAGTATATATATCACACTAGTGGCTACAGGTTTATCAAACCCCCAGGACGTAAGGCCCTCGGAAGGTTGATGACAGGACCTGGAATTCTCTTCGCCGAGGGTCTGACATTATTTATGAATCAAGGTCTTCCCACGCTAATTTCTCGTGTACACAGGTGACGACCACAAGAGACACCGTAAAGTTCTCCTACCGGGTTTCGGAGGTCCCGAAGCCAAGTTTTATGTACCAGTGTTTTTCAAATATGCTAACAAGGTGAAAAATTTCCCCCATGCTTCAAGTCGACGTACCAAGTCCTCTGACCACTCAAAGATGGCGTCAAAGTGGAAAGAGTTGATCTCCACCTCTGACAACCAGTCCGTCATTCTTGATATTCCTTCGTGGGTATCGCGTGCAACATTGGACGCGATAGGTGAAGGTACGCCATTCGCACAGTCGCGCACTGAATACTCCCAACAAATCATCTGTCCAGCCGCCTTTGATTACCAGTTTGGCGCCCTCGATGACTCGACCAATCCGCTTACCACCGCATATACAAACCTCCTGTAAGCTGCTCGAACCCTCTTATATTGTATACGTACCTGACATTTTTCAGCTTTGACACTTTCACCATACAAACGGACAACAGTAGCCTGTTACTGCATATGATGGAAAGGATACCGCAGCGGCTTCTACGATACCTTGCTGAAAATGCACCTGTTCAGCGATTAAAGCACGTCCGAATGACGAACGAGCTATCCACCCAAGTCGCAAAGAAGTTATTGAATGAGAAAAAACGAGCCCTTGTGACCGGAGAATCGAGCAGGGATATCATGAGTTTACTAGGTCTGAACCCCTTTCGTCATCCGCCCGTTCGCTATGAAACTAACTCGCACGGATGGTAGTGAAAGCAAATGTCTCGGAAAATCCGAAAACTCAATTAGACGATGAAGAATTGCTTGCTCAAATGAAGTAAGTGTATTCCTTCAATTAATAGTTCATTATTCATTCCATTGATAACAGCACCATCATTCTCGCTGGCCATGAAACAACCGCTAATGCTTTTTCTTGGACTCTTCTTGAACTTTCAAAGCGCCCCGAAGTCCAAGAACGACTGAGAGCGGAGATCAGGGCGAAGGAGCGATTGATTTTTGACCGTGGTGATACAGAATTCACCGTGCAGGACTTGGATAGCATGGCATATTTGACTGCTGTGGTGAAGGTCAGGGTCCAACACTTTCTCGCATTCTCTCGGGCTCATCTCATTGTAGGAAGTACTTCGATTCCATCCAGTTGTCTACAACATCGCACGTGTCGCGGCTCGGGATGATGTGCTTCCTTTGAGCAAGCCCGTGACACTGACAACAGGAAAAGTAGTGCAAGAGGTGCCGATACCGAAAGGAACGTTCATCCTTGCTTCTGTCGCTGGATATAACAAGTAAGAATACGCCATATGACGCGCATTGTGACCCTCCGCTGATTCTGCGTGATGAAAAGGAACAAGGAAATCTGGGGAGAAGATGCTCACGCTTTCAATCCTGAACGATGGTTCCGGAAAAATACGAACAAGGAAGTATCTATCGGTGTCTACGGGAATCTGTATGTTACAGTTAAGGTCCACGAGAACTGCCAATTGCTGACGTTATGTTGTCTCAGATTCAGCTTTGCTGGAGGATCGATGTCGTGCATTGGCTGGAGATTCGCGTATGGAGTATCTCATCGTGTGCGACTTCTTCATATACTAACTCCCAATTTCATAGGGTCCTCGAACTCCACGCCTTTTTAATCGAGGTTATCAATAACTTTGAATTTTCTATGACTACCGAAGCTGAACGGGTTCGGAGGGAGGCTTGCTCTGTCATGACGCCGACTGTGGAAGGAGAGGTGGAGAAGGGTTCGCAACTGCCTTTGAGAGTAGCAATAGCCTCCCGCTAGTAGTGACCTTATAGAGTGAAATTTGATCCTGATTCGCTGATGATCTGTCTTACGAGCTGCAGCTCTTGGATGAAGATGGAAAAATCAATTCTTCTGGAGGAGCATCGGTTTCGGCACGTACTCTCCTTCTTTCCAAGCCCTAGAGTATCGGACTCGTTTTCAGAGGATGCTGGTGGCTGTTTTCTCGTGGCCGTCGTAGAAAAGGCTTCCGAAATAGCTTACGACGACCCACTCACAGGCGGTCGACAACGTAATAGTCCCGTAAGGCTGCCACAAAGGCGTCGTGCCCCGAGATGGACATTCCCTCGACAGGTCCTGCTTCATTATCAGTCTATGATGATGAACCATCAAAGAAAGCTCAACCCAGACCCCAACCCCCACCGACGTCTCAACAAACGGTTGCAAGAAGCCTTCGACAGCATCGACAGGCTGAATTGGAAAGGTTCGGATCGCGGCCCGCGCCGGCTACTACATCTGCTGCCGTCGAAATCGGACTCGCCAAATTTCAACCTAGCTCTAACATTTCGCCTCCGGTATATATTCATTGTGCCGAAATCTGTTCCAGTTTAGGACTTTTCGATCCTGGTTTTATCAAATAACATGCTTGAAATGCTGACGGAGAACTTCTGACTCTCACAGGAGGGATAACTTGTGTCATATCTTGTTTGACGTCGCTGGCCTCTACGCGCTGATAGGTTCTTGGAGACTTCGACTGGGACTATATATTTCAGGCGTCAATGCTACTGTTAGTTTTTCACTTCTGTAAACGTTCACATCAGCGTTCAATTTCTAGTTCTGTGCCACCAAACTGGGGGGCGGACTGCGCGAAAGCAAAAGACCTGGCTTGCTTCGCCTCAACTTCGTTTGACTCAGATATTTCCATCGGTAGTCTGTTGCAATTCGGTACCATTCGTATTCAAAGAACTCCGACAATAATTACGTTTGCCACCGCCCCCGACCATGTCAACTTTGCCCTGGACTGTAAGAAAGGATTACTAGCGCTTACTACTTATCTGTAAACGTATCTGACGTCGAAATATTCTATCTCCAGTTTTGATGGCAACGGGGGTAAATATTTGTCGAGAACAAGAACGAAGGACTCGGAAATACAGAAGAGCTCTTATGCTTCTTCGGTTTCACCATTTCACCATTTCACCATTCCACTCCTTATATCTCGTGAGTGGCTTCATATTTTTAGCTCTGCTGTTTAACTAACTCTGAGTTGCACTAACAGCGTCTTCATTTATCCCGGAGTCCCGTACAAAAACCCTAACGTCGGAATGGTTGTCATCCACAGTGGCCAGTTCTATATCATGGCTGAGCGTTCAGGACTATCATAACGTCGCAAGACCTTTCTTCTGTCGTTTCCTCCCAGTGATCGCTAATTGATAGGCTTTAGAATTGCTATATATTCCACACAAGGCCTCTCATCCTTGTTCACGTTCGCCAATGCAGGAAACCTGTCGGAACTCCTTAGAGGCTAAGCAGCAGAAGTGAATCTATACTTATCTGCTAATTGTTGCTGTGGTCTTATCTTACGCCGAGTTCGACTTCAAATGGAAAGCCATGTATGGCGATATATCGTTCGAGTCCGGGCACCCTTGGGTGTAAGTTATCCTCGGTAAAGTGTGTGTGTAATTGTTAACTAACGGTGCTATCCAGGAAGATCGCTTTCTGGTATCTGATCCCAGGGCGCTGCAGTATATATATCAGACTAGCGAACACGGATTTATCAAATCCCCAGACCACAAGGAGATCGGAGGATTGATTACAGGCCCGGGGATTCTCTTCGTCGAAGGTCGGCTATCGATCTCAAGGTCTTCACAGGCTAATCTCTTTTCAGTCACATAGGTGACAGCCACAAGAGGCACCTTAAAGTTCTCCTACCGGGTTTCGGAGGATGTGAAGCGAAAATTTATGTACCAGTGATTTTGGAGTATGCAATTTGATCTCCACCTATTTCACTTACGAGCTGCTGCTGAACGAAGATGGAAAATTTGACGTCTATGTCTCGTTCGCAGGAGCAATTGAAGTACAATTTCTGTATCCATCGTAAGGTAGTCCTTAGATACAAACTTCTACCAAAGTTGACATTACAAGGAATGCGAAAAGAAAAGGACGGCATCTACTGTACGAAAGCGAAGTTCGAACCGTACATGTGTATAATCATGACACTTCCTTCACCGAACTCGTAGTACTCGGGCTATGACTCGAATTCCCATCCTGCTGAGCTCTCAGCCAGCTTCCAAGTCCGACGGCAATAGCACCAACAGCCTGCGCAGCTCCAGAAGCCAACACGGCGCCACCAGCACCCGCAGCGACAGCGGGAATAGCCGGTAAACTCCCAGCCGTTATAAGTATAGCGCTTATCGTGCTCATCACCTTGGGATGTTCACTAGTCAAGAAATCTAGCGCATTGCACGCATTGAGCAACCAGACCGGGGCGCTGGCCACCGTCGTTACCGCTAAGCGATACATCAGCAATCCGTGCATAAGAAACGATGGAAACTTACTTTGATCCGTCGTCGACGAGCGTGTTGGCGAAGGGCAGACCAGCGAAGTGTCCAGTTTAGTCTTCTCTACCTGTAGTTTTAACGCGTCCGTCGTCGACGCTCGCCGTAATGGCCTGAAGAAATCGCCCGACCCCGATTTCGCACTGGCTAGCACTGGAGGTCGCTCTTTCTTCCCTTCCTTCTCCTTCTTCGATATCTGGAGATCGTTCACTGGTTCCTCAGTTATCGGAGTTTCTGGCTCGTCCTTCTTCCGTATTGTCCACCAATGCCCTGACGACTTTGCCTGTACTTTTACCGTCGTCGTCGCTGTAGCATCGATATGCCCTAGAGTGGACGTAAGTTACCTCGCCAAATCTACGAGAAATCACTCACATTCCAGATTCCTCATAGCGATCTTGAACTTCTCCCAATTCCAGCGATAATTTCCTCCATGCACTTTGCGCATGACGACCTTGAGTTCGTCCAACCTGGTCATCGCGCCATCAGCCTTCACCGCCCGCCCCGAGTCGGAGACCATACAAGACTCACCTTGTCTTCGCTTTCTCGCCCATGTATTTCTGCGCAACCCTGTGCCAGCATTCCTTCGGAACGTTCCTCTCCTGGCACCCATTTTTGACTTTCTTCAGCCAATCGTCGACCGACTCGTTCCTCCCATCGCCATAGAACATAGGCGGGTTCTCCCAAGCCGCGTACACAGGTTCGAGGTCATACGGCTTGAGCTTGAATGCGTCTAGGACCGACATGTGGGAGATAGGTTAGGGTAATAGCTCGAACTGGAGGATTTATCTCTCCCTTCGGAACACCCGTATTAAAAGGGTGCGCACCCGGGTACGAAACCAGAAACATCAGAGTTTAAAACTGAGGCTTGCTTGCGAACGCGCCGAATACACGTTTATGAGTTATCGTGATCAACGACGGAGGCACATTGCAGCTGCGCGACTGTGAAGTTGAATGGTGGCTACTCCAATGAGGTCTGGGCTTCGTTCCAGGGTGCTGCTTCGTGACATGTTCCTTCCTATTGGCGAGTGTCAAGATAAAAGTACCCATGCAGCATGCGCTACATATGCGATTGTGTCGGTCGCCGTCCACAGATGCTGTTCAATCCATCGTTGATTTGCTGATACCGTCAGCGGTATAGAGATGGGAATCGATGTTCACGGGAAGAAGGAAAGACATCAAGTTGTGACAAACGAATCCGCGAAGTCTCGGAGCAAGTTGTCTCCGCTTTGAAGCCGAGGTGTTCACCTGAAATGAATGTCCTTTCGGTATTTCCGAGTCCACATATAGAACTAAACCCGACCGCACAGTCTACCTTTTGGAATAAGTATGTAATTGAGATGCAGTCGACCTTGCAGGCGGGGGAAACCGTGAAGTGGTTCCTGGATAGAGCTGAAGATATGTGTTCCCGAAACACGGAAGAGAAAGCCTGAGACGGTTCCAAATGGGAACGGAATTGAAACAGATCCCAGCGACGCGTCCTTTTCGCGTGAGGTTTGAGTGTAGACGACACCCTCCAGTAAGGAAGGTGTTTATAAGAGGAACTGTGACCGACGACCGTGCGGTGAACGACGCGGAAATGACACTCATTGCTCAGAGCAGGTACTTGGTGTTTCATTAATTTGATGCCTAAAGCCAGAGGTCCTCAGGACTGGTGCGATGATTTGGATACGCGTCCTAGGCATTGCTGGCTTTCATGGCTGGTATGGCGTTTCGCAAATGTACACAAGTAGTGGCCGGCGGTGCATAATTCTGCACAGCTACTAGTCATGCTTGCACGAAGATGAGAAGTTATATGTGAGCTCAGCGCACCAAGGTGAGGTATACAGCTGGACAGTGGACGGAGCACGAGGAAAGCCCCTTCATCCAGGAGTCATCGGCTGTTTCGGCATTCCATATTTAGGCGCCGAAATACCGATTGCCGAACCAAACCCGCCGAATCTCGTTCTCTCCTCTAATTGTTAGTGGAAATTCGAGGCTCGACACTCTTGAAAAAAAACCTTGGTGCGGCGGCAGTGCAGTAATCGAATCCTCTTCAGCGTAGGTGCGCTGTTCGACAAGTGTTAGATGAATGCAAAAGGACACTATTTACCAGCCGAACATACCATCCACCCCCACCGTCAATACCTATGTATCGTCCGTCTGTCTAAGAGAGACTTGAATCACAGCGAAGGTATAGGAAAACCTGGGTAGTCGAGATGGACTCTGAGCATGGTAGTAGCAGTCATTACGAGAAATTCAAAAGGATCATGGTGGTTACGAGCAGGTTGTCCTCATTTTCAGAGGGTCGTCTCTTTTATATGCTGCTGTTTACGTTCAAGAGTTGTGCAAGTATATTTTGGGTACTCAGCGCCTGACCGATGTGCTCCGAGATCGCCGATATACAACTCGCACACCGTATACTTTGTCAGCTTGTGACCTAATATCACACTGGAAAGATAAACATTTTTGACAAACGTAAAATTCTGAGCACATCTGTAACGTTTTAGGAGCATCATTTGGGGTTCAACAAACTTCGCGTTTTGGAGGATCTCAATCCCATGCCGCCCGCCAGAGGTACACAAATTGTATGTAAAATCTCTGCCAAGATCGACCTCCAAAACGTCACCTTATTGTGCACGTTCTGGTTTCCCTCAAATTCTCATCTTTCCGGTGTGAATACAAGCACGTATTAACCCAGCTTCCATGACGCAAACTCCGGCGATAGCACGCCCACAGCTCAAAAGCATTGGTATTTTGGTCCTAACAACAAATGAAAATGTCCCATATTCATATTATACCTTCACCTATGCGAAGTCTGTACAGGACAATGTGTCCGTTTTTTTAAGTGATAAAAGGATATAGAAGAAGAATAATGTAATATCCTAAAGCTGTCCGTCGATGGTAATGCGTTGATCACCGAATTCGTGATCTGAATTCTCGGGTAAGGTAGTGCCAAGTATAGTGGTTCCAGCCTTCTAAGACGCCAGCGCCCGCCATAATATGAAGACAGTCGGACGCTACGTGCTAGAAAAGTATACGTCAGACCATGAGTGTTCCAAGAATCCAAATGAAGTCATTGGATCTCGAGAGGGCACATCCCTTCCCTACCGCATACAAAAGGATGATTCTCCAGCCACATATTCTGGACCCAATGCAATGCAAAGAAAAGAACTCACCGCATCAGGGCGTAGACGCGCTGGTCTATCGATAGGAAGGAAATGTATGTCAGGGTATTGTGTGTTCAAAAGCACGTCCTGTCGAACAAAAACAAGTCAGTCAAAATCCTCTGTACAGACCAGGATAACTGAGCCTGTCGAGCTTTGGAAGAAGACTGGCGCATGTCACTGTGCTCGACGGGCTCCTCGGTGGGGCGTAGCATTACGAATACATACCTGGAAGACCTGGTTGTACTCTTCTATATTAGCCCAATTGAACCACTTCCAAATCCACGGCTGGATCTCCGTCCAGGGTTCTTCGGCTTTATGGCAGTCTTCATGTCCCGGAAGGTATGCGCGCACAACGACTCGTCTTCGACCTCTCCTACCTCTAGGTAGCACCTGGCCGCCCATGCTGTTCATTGCTCTTTGTACTTGATCAGCCCAAAAAGACATCGCCTCCCCGAAAAAGCTAATAACCCCGTCGATCCCAAAGCCTTCGTCCTCCTTCGACTCGTCCCGATAGCCGGAAAAAAGAGTGGTCGTCCAGTGCCCGCCGGTGCTTAGAATCATGCTTCCATAGTTGGCTTCTGGGAGCGGGGCGGCGAACAACTGTAGATAATAATCCGGACTGAGGTTCCACGCCAGTTCCTCACTGAAAAGACTAAAGTCCTCCGGTGGATCATACAGTGTGCGGTGAAGTTCCACGAGCTCAGCCTGCTCAAGCAGCAGATCAACTCGGCGAAATGTGACAAGCGGTGTGATAGTGATGTCAAAGCCAGGTGGGAACCGAAGCTTGTGAATAAGCGGCGACTGGGGATTAAGGTAAAGATTCTGGGGCCAAGCACGGTCAAAGTAGGGATTCTTGACGTAGTCTGGGGTTGCAATTACATGCGGGAAGAGCATGCAAGAAAGAGAAAAGAATTGGCCCTCCGTTATAGAGTCTGATTTGTTTCGCCATTAAAATAATTGGCGCATCAAAAAACGGCCGCTTACTCACCGCCAAGAAGCAACCACCCGCCCTGCTCTACCAGGTCCCGAACCATCGCCTCTGCGGTGAATTCACGCGTCGTGCACTGCGGTGAAGGCTGCCAGCGCCAGTTGGTCACTCGCGGGAACCGCCGTTGCTGTTCCTCCGTCTCTCCGGCGCCAAGGTGCCAGTAAAACTCCCGTGAGCTTGCGCAGCCTTGAAAGCCGGAAAACTCGAGTGCATCCGACTGCGTAGTCATGCTGCGGTTCGTGGCTGAGGTATCGTAGACCCATTGCCCGTTGGAGTACTCTTCTGGTGGACACGATGGCCTGGTTCTTTCTTCGGACAAGAATGGTAGGAAATCAAAGGATGGTGCAGTCGTAAAGGTATAGAAAACGAGAAAGAGTGTCAGTACGCCGCCGAGGGCGACCAGCCTGAACGATATCGTCCGCGTCCTTGGGATCATCATCGTGGCAAGATCTAAAAGGAAAGGAGAATTACAAAATTAATTGCATCGCAATTCTCGTGGTCACATTCTATATTTAGACTGGAAACCCCGAAACCCCGCTTTTTTGCTATGACTACAGTACTCTAATTTATATTAGACCTCTTTCCTCCTCGTCCCCAAAATGAAGGGAAAAGCAAGGAGAATAACCGGTTTGGCGGAGACCATATGCTCACATCAGCGAGAACCCTGTGAAGATTTTGAGGGTACAAAATGGACTGATGGCCCTTTGCCGTTTCCCCAATGAGGTCATACGTTGCATTCGTAGTACAGCTATGTTTAACTGTATCCACGGCGGATGAATATGTGGTGCAACATGTACTGAAGGCTGTGGATCTTCAGGTGCTGCGGAATCCAGATGGCGGCCTGAAAATCATCCATCCATCACCTGATACTTCTATTAAATTGCGTGGCGCTTGACAACCCTACACATAGCCGGCACAAGTGGATGTTTCTGAATAAGGCCCTGCACATGATCCGCTGTCCATTCGTAGCAATACCATGGCTAGAAAATAGTCAGCATAGACAGGATTTGACAAAAATATTACGCACTTGATAAATTACAAATCCTGCATAGGCAACCACTGCATACATTATAGACAAAAAATTTGTCATAGATTACAATTTACTTTCCTTCTAACAACCAGATTGTCATTCCCATTCTTGCCTCAGCTTCGAGCTTCCTAAATCTCTGACACTCCCCAGCCCCACCAACAATGCCTCACCGTCCGGCCCAGGCGGTATTCTCCCCTCATATATCACCTCCAAAAGCTTTCCCATATCCTCCAACGCGAAATCCTCCATCTCCTCAATCAGCGCCAAGTCCTCATCTTCCTCCTCGTCCAATTGCCGCCCCGTCCTCCCCCGCCGCATCTCCGCAATCCGACTCAACTGCCGCTTAACCGCATCCACGATGCTTTGCTTTACCTCAGGCGTCACGATCTCATGGGTCATCTGTATGCTGACCTTCAAACAGTCACCTAGACTCTTAAATAGCGAGCTTAGGAATCCGGCGTCTTGCTCCGTCGTCACACACGAGATGAGCTGAGCATATGTTGCATGGATCATCTGGGGCGTGAGGGTGCCAGAAGTGTGGCCCGAATGTAGGAGGATAGGAAGGAGCCTAGTGTGTATCAGAGGTGGACGGCGGAAGGAAGGCGGAGAGCGAGCTTAACTTACATGGCACATGCCTCTCTTACACCATCGTGAAAATAGAATTTCAACCCCCCTAGAGCGACTTCCAAACTCTGACTGACCCACATGCCATATTTGCTTCCTAGCGTAGACGCATGGATGAGCATTGTCTCCAGAGCCTGACACTTTTCCTCTATTCCCAATGTCCGCACAGAGAGCAGCTGGTTGTCCATGGAGATGATATCCCAGCCCGGCGTCGATGGCGGGGTCTCCGTAGGAGACGCCGGTGCGTCTAGGTCGAGACCATTATTTGAGGAAAAGAAACGGATTCGGGGGACTTGTTCTCACCATAAACGCTGACATCCGCTTTCTTGCTCGCCATCGCCAAGAGACCCGGCATAACCACCGGAAGGTAGGGCTCGAACTCCAGCCCCATGGCTTGGCAGACCTTGGCCCAAGTGCCCATGAGATAATGCGCTACCTGCGTGTCAGAAGGATCCGGAGGGGATTCTATGATGGCATTCATGAGTCGAAGCAAACGACAAGGATAAATCAGGAAACCCGCACTCTGAATTCGGATGAGAAGTTCAACAAGCGCGCTGGCGTCAGGTCGAAAAGTCTCCGGTCCAACTGCGATAGCTGTTACAAATCGTCAGGATTCAAATTGGCACAAAAAGAGCCGGAAAAACATGCCAATCAGCCCTGCACATTCCATAGCTTTATTCCTCATCTTCTTAAATTCGCTAGAATCCGCGTTACGCAGTACATTTAGTAAAAGCGGCATTATAATAGTATAGTGCTACAGACAGGTTAGCCACAGCACAAGCGCGAACTAGTAACGTACCTTTCCAAATGTCCTCTCGCTTGCATCGGCCACCATTGCAAGTGTCGTGATAGCTTGCTCCTGAACATATCGTCGGTCTGTGGTACCAGTAAGCAGCTTCAGCAATCGTTCTACGATAGGATCCAGGTACGGCAATAGGGTATCTCGCTCAACACCCTCACAAAAGTTAATCAAAGCCGCCGAGGCGTGAGAGTGAACTCTGCATCTACAATTAGCTCGGGATGAATAAGTCTGCCAGGATGATCACCTAGGTTCAGGGTCTTCTAGTGTGGGTATGAGGACATTCAGAAGAGAGTCGTAGTGGTTTTCTTGTAGCAGGTCGGCGAGATCAGTGCAGAGTTGACCGCTTGAAGAGATATTAGCCCTGACTACGCCAAATGATTAGGACGGACATACACGCATTGGCATGCCGCCCAGCGCACTCGGGGATGGGTGTCTGCGAACATCGGGGTTACAAGCCTATATAATAGACGGAAGAGTCATAATGACACCAGTACATCACAATCAAACGCACCTACCCTACCACTTTGGTCAACTCGTTCTGCATGGTCTGGAAGATACTATATGTCAAAAATGACACGTTCGAGATGGCTGATAATTCATTACTTTTCCGGTGCCTTCTGCAATGGCCGCAATAGCCATAAGACCCGCATGCCTAGCCCTCCAATCGTAGCTCGCAAGCATGGAAGGAATATATTGAAATGCTGGTGGAAGCACTGCGTTCCCTCCCAACGCGCAAGCGACGCGATCAAGAGAATGTTCATATAGAGCAGGTGCAGCGTCATCTGCTTCCGTTGTTCCTGCAGATGGCTATGTAAAGCAAATTGTTCTTCTTCAGCCGGGAAGAACAGCCAGAGGCGATAAAACCACAAACTTACGTCTTCTTTGAGCCACTCCAGAGTACTGTCCTCGTCATCATCATACTCGCCCATACCCTCGAGACAAGCGCGGACGAGTAATCTTACCCACCCCTCGACGTTCCTGACCATGCTCGGCTTGGCTTCCGTTAGACTAACCATCATCTCCAAGGCAGCGAGTCTCAGGGTCTTGATATCCTCGTCATCTTCCTCAGGGTCTTTTCCTTGCGTTGATGACGAAGGAGGAAATGTGAATGGTTGCTTCATCGTTGGGGTTGGGCCACTGTCAGCAACCGGCAGAACTAAAGAAGGAAGGAAGGACAATAACGCCGGTAGGTGGATTGAAAAAAGTGTAGGATGTGTGGAGCATAGAGGGTGCAATGCGGTCAAAAGGGAAGTAAGGTGTCGATGGGGTGTAGATGGTAGTGTCTCGAGGATGGGATACATTAGCGATAACGATTGGGCAAGCTGTGTTGGATCTGCTGCATTAAGATACGCCACAGATGCTAAGAGAGCTGTGTGTCGAACATCGATAGATGATGGATCTTGCAAGCCATTTCTAAAGACGTTGAGCACAGCATCCGTCTGGAGGTCCATGACAAGATTTGGACAGCCGGAGAAGACACGATAGGCTGTTTCCCGCATGGAAGGGTCATGATCTCGTGCCATAGAAAATACCTGAGCTTGTAATGCATGCCATGGTCGGCCCCGAGACATGCCCTGGTTTGCGAGATCACATACCGAGTCCACGGATTTCCGGCGGACCACTGATGACGGCTCGTGGGAAAGGGAGTGCAGGAGGAGCCGCTCGAGGGTAGTCAGCGTTTGTGACGACAGGTGGTCATACAAAGTGAGGCGTGGATGTGTCGGCGAGCTCGCTTGTGACTGACGAAAAAGCAGTCTTCTAAGGAGAACGAGTGAAAAAGAACGCATCTAGATGACATTCCAGCAAGTCGCCACACATGCAGGGAAATTGTCACGTACCACTTCTGTATCTGCTACAATCGAGAACTGAGCTAATGCGAGGAGATAGATCTCTGGTGTGTGGGCCAGGCGGTCGTTGACAGTTTGCTCAGCGCTACAGTATTGTCTAAGTTAGCACCAATTAGTGAAATAGACAAGAAAACCGACTTGGATCTGATCTCATTGTCACCCAGTACGAGATTAGAGAGTATCTGAGTCAGTTCAGCAGTGATTTCTGGAGGGACGACTGGGTCCATGTCGTGATCGGTGCCAGTGATCAAGGAAAGGCAGCGCTCCGTGTCGAAAAAATGACCACGAGGCTCTCGGCCCGAACCTCCGCACCCTGTCGACGCGCCCGGCGTATTCTAGTCCTGGTGTCGGTCGAAATTGTGCGCTGCATAGAATAGTGAGTATGTTCTTTTCTCTGGCTCAGGTATTCTCGGTGGGCAAGAAAAATCCACATTTTCAATCTTGTCTAGCGATCTTTGCAGAATCATCGAATAATGCAGCGATGAGAGGTTTAGCTGGATTAACCTGCAAGCGAAGCATTACCTTGAATTTGTCTTGCTACTTGGAAACTTCTGTTGGAGGATATCCGTACGTTTCATCTTATCTTACTTTTGATCACTCGCTCTATTTGCCTTATATATACTTACACCTCCTGTCGTTTCCCGATCACCTATATAGTCCAGCCATTCCTATCTGTATGCCTCAGTCGCTTCACCCACGTTGTGCCCGACTGAGATACTCACATATATTCTTCTGTCAATAGGTTATGAGGCCCCGTTGCCTATAACTACTCAGTCAAGAAGAATATGCAATGGAATTTCGACTTAACTTACTGCTTGAATTTATACCATACCACTACTCTCACCACTTTACACCACACCCCTAAATGATGTTGTCGATGTCGGGAGTCACTATCCTCCCTGACACGAGTAGCCATTTCAATGGAAAGAACTACGCCTCATGGAAACTCCAACTTACTGAGTTACTGAAGGGAAAAGGCCTATGGGGATACATTGCAGGAACTACTGTCTGTCCTGCCATCCCCGCCACCACTACCACAGCCATGGCTACTACCACACCCCTCCCACCAGACCCTACTCCCATATACTCATCCTCTCCCTCGTATGACGAGTGGGTCTTTCGTGATCAGCTCGCCCACTCGAACATCGTCCTCAACGTTCTTGACCCCATTGGTCTAGGAGTCAAGACTGACGGAACGGCAAAGGAATGCTGGGACTCCGTTGCTGCGGAACACGCAAAGAAAACGGATATGGCCCTTTCCGAGGCTGAGGCATTGCTGAATGCGGCGAAGTTTGACGGGAACAGTGACATCAATATCCACGTCGCCGACCTGCGCATGAAACGACGAGCTGTGAATGACCTCTGAACCACAGCATTGAGTGATCAGGAGTTCAAGAGAATAATTATTCGCTCGATAATCCCGACTGATCACTGGATGCCTATCCTCTCAAGTTTATACGGCATGCCAACGTCCTCTGATGTGTTTTCCCATCTCCAAACCCATGCCGCCATGCTTCATGCAGCGGGTAAAGGTCCTGCCAACTCCCAAGCACTTGCGGCTGGAGTCGGAACCTCTGTTGTGGTACGTGGATGTCGTAATCCAGATTGCAAGGCCTGTGATAAGACTAGGCACACCACCAAGAATTGTTATTGGCCAGGAGGGGGAAAGGAGGGACAATTCCCTGCCAACTTCGGCCAACCTCACCGTGCAAACCAGGCAATCTCGAACACCATGGCCGATACTACAAGGCATTTTGTACTTGCTGCACGTGCTACTACAGTGGAAGCCGATCGTGATGATGACAGCATTGTAATTGAGGATGGCAGCACTGGCGAGAGGATATACGAGTGGAATGGTACCCATTCCTTCTGGCGCTGGGATGAAACAGAGAGCAACACTATATTGATGTCGAAGGTTGAAGAAGAGACAGACCTCGAAATGCCTCCTCTCACTGACGTCGATGACTCTGATGATGAAGATGTTGCTGGAGACGATGAGATATCTTCTGTCAAGAGTATAGACACTAGCAAGGCCAATATTGAGAATGTAGGACACTTTACATGCGAGGCTGACCCTGCTACAACAGCCTTTGTCATGACTACGTTCGAAGGCCGTACCCCAGCCATCACTCTAACCTTCATGGATTCTGGCGTGAGCGACTACTTCTTCAGGAATCGTGATGACTTCACAGAGTATACACCAGTAGCTTTCCGTACTGGCTCATCTGCAGTTGAGGGAAAGGGAACGTTCGAGATCCTGGGCCAGGGTACAGCAACAAAGGTCTTCAGACTGAATGGAAGAGATGTTAAGCTCACCTTCAAAAATGCCTTGCATTCACCTTCACTCACCGCAAATCTCATCTCCATAAGCGCCTTAGACAAGGCTGGGTTGTCAACTGTGTTCTCTGATGGCTGTGCAGTTGTCCAGGATAAGTCTGGTAAAGAGATCTTTGCTGGGCGAGGCTCGGATGGCATGTATATGCTGGATGCTGCACCTAGCCCCCAAGCTATGGCATCCCGCTCATCTCCCACTTCACTGAGTACTTGGCACCATCGTTTTGTCTACATGAGCCCTGCAAAAATCGAGGAGATGACATCAAAAAGGCTGGTGGATGGCTTGGAAATTACCTCAGAGCCTATCCAGGGATGCTGCGAGGACTGTATTCTAGCGAGACATGCTCGTCATCCCTTTGATGAGCCCACCGATCCCAATGTCGACCCACTGGAGCTTGTTGCAACAGATATGTGGGGACCGTCTCGAATGGCATCACCGAGTGGAAAGACTTATATGATGATATTCGTCGATAGTGGTACATCGTTCAAGATGGGGGAATTCCTGGCAGACAAAGCAGATAACACTACCGTGGCTGCTTTTGACAGATACAGGCGCATGGCTGAGACTCAGACTGGCCGAAAGCTTAAGCGTATACGTGCTGATCATGCTTTTGCAGGGGTAAAGTGGAAACAATATTGCGAGGAGCATGGGATCATCCTGGAATTAACCGCACCCCACTCATCAGCCCAGAATGGATTAGCTGAACGTGCCCTATGCACCACTATGGAGGATACAAGAGCTCTACTAAGTGACTCTGGCCTCGCTGACTGCTACTGGGCTGAGGCTGCCTCTATGTCAATCTTCACACGAAACCTTGTTCCTTCGAGTCGCCATCCTGGAGTAGTACTAGCAGAGGGTTTCTCAAAGCGACGACAGAACATGGGATTTTTATGAGTGTTCAGATCCACTTGCTGGGCAAAGAAACCTATAGCTGGTGGGGTTTTGGTAGATGGCGGAAGCAAACTCGATGATCGATCAAAGAAATGCACCTTTCTGGGATACTCAGGGTCCAATTACCATGTACTTGATCAATCGGGATATGTGTTTGTGTCTCGTGATGTCATCTTTGATGAAGGACCAGCACACCGAAGTGTGAGGGAGATGGAGGACAAACCTGCACTCACTACTTCTACTCATACCGAGATGCTTATGCCAACTGAGCCAACTGAGCAAATGCTAGATGCTTCCACAGAACCAACTCTTCGCTGATCAACGCGCTTAATGCGTCCCAGTGCTGATGCTGCCAAATCTCTGATGTCAAAGCAACAAGAGGCTGAGGCCCATGCAAGTGGAAATGACTGGGCAACCAACAGCAAACAGCCATGTGCTTCAATGGCTTCTGGTAATCCACCTGACTCATACATCCCACGAAATCATCAAGATGCACTGCGTGTTGATGAAGAGCGATGGAAGGCAGCTATGGATGTGAAATACCAAATGCATATGACGAAGCATACGTGGGACCTAGTCGACAGACCAGTAGGAGTGAACGTGATAGATTGTAAATGGGTCTATGGTATGAAATGGGATGGCGATGGTAACTGGATCAGGGACAAGGTGAGGCTCATTGGGAAGGGCTATACTCAACAGTATGGACTCGACTATAACGACACTTGGGCTGTGGTGACCCATCTCGAATCTGTACGGATGTCGGCTGCTGTTGCAGCAAAGCTCAATCTTGTCCTATGGCAAGTGGACTTCATTTCGGCATACTTGAATAGTGAGACAAAAGAAGACATCTATATGCGTCAGCCCCCAGGGTACGTAGTCGAAGGACAAGAGGATAAGGTGTGCAAACTTGTCCATACTATTTATGGGACTATGCAGGGTGGCCATGATTGGTTTGAGATGCTTGAGAAAACCTACGAAGACCTTGGATACTGTGCATCAAAGGCAGACCCATGTGTACGCACCATTGGCAAGCCTGGAGATGAGTATACCATCACAGACACTTACACTGATGATGTGTGGGGAGCATCATCGACTACAGAGGAGGCAAGCCGATGGAAGAAGGAATTAGAGGAGAAATGGGAGCTCACCGATATGGGGGAGAACCGTTACTTTCTGGGGATGAAGATTGAACAAGACCTTGAGGCTGGCACCATCACCTTCTCGCAGCATCCATATTGGGAGAATGTATTTTTGGACTTCAACCTTGGATACATATGATCATGGACCACCCCCCTACCTGTTAGAATCGTACTCGACATGTCACAGTCTCTGAATACCCAAGCAGAGAAGGATGCTATGGAAAGATTCCCATACTGACGACTGCTAGGCCATGTTATGTGGGGACAGCTTGCAACTCATCCCGACTTGTGCTTTCCTGTAAGCCTGCTCGCTTGCTTCCAGTCTAACTCAGGAATAGAGCACTGGAAAGCATTAATACATGTTCTTGGGTATATAAAGGAGACAATGGACCTTGGTATCTCCTTCTCGCATGAGCAGCCATTAACACCTGTTGGATTTGTAGATGCAGACTATGGGGGTTGTAGGGACATGACTCATTCGACGTCCGGCTATGTCTTCACCATGGCGGGTGGTCCGATTTGCTGGAGCTCAAAGCATCAGGCTACCATCGCCCTGTCCACTGTCGAGGCTGAATACATTTCCCTTACTTGTGCAGTGCAACAGATGATGTGGATATTGTCTTGGATGGATGAGGTCCAACTACCTCAGCCTCACCTCGGTGTATTGTACGGTGACAACCAGGGTGCTGTAGCATTAACAACAAACACACGGTCCCATCAGAAAGTCAAGCATATCCGCATTTGAGAGCATTTCATTAGAGAGCTCATGAAGGATGGTGAATTACGTGTCGAGTTTGTTCGAGGGAACGCAAACCCTGCAGATATGTTCACTAAGCTCTTGCCTCATGATACGCACAATGGTTACCTCGAGATGCTCAACATTATCCCAGTAGATTGAACGGATATGGGGGAGTGTTGGAAGATATCTGTATGTTTTATCTTATCTTACTTTTGATCACTCGCTCTATTTGCCTTATATATACTTACACCTCCTGTCATTTCCCGATCACCTATATAGTCCAGCTGTTCCTATCTGTATGCCTCAGTCACTTCACTCACGTTATGCCCGACTGAGGTATGTATATCCCTACTGTGCTTATGACTATGATACTTACACTCGTTCATAGATACTCACATATATTCTTCTGTCAATAACTTCTAGGAAGTTTCACGGCTTCATGTGGCATTTTGGATCCTTTATCTGTGTTCTAGAATTTAAGAAGATTCAGTTACAGCAAATCTCTCAAAAAGTATGCTCCTTGAATAGTATCTCGAAAGCACAGAGATCCAAAAGAAGAATGAGAGGCAAAGAGTGAACCTTTCTCTTGCGAATCTTCCTGATTCCACATGCCGGACCATTTGACGTGAAAGATAGAGAGGAGTCCTTCAAAAGAGTATCCCGGAAGTCTCCTTTTGACACTCTCCCCACGTCATGTCTGATACATCGATGCAAAGCAGAGAGCGGAGTAGTAATATCACTGTCTTTTCGGTAACGGCGAGTTTCCTCTGTAAATACAGAATATGCTGTCTGGTGGTTCAATGGTTGATCTGCCTCAGAAGAAACATTCCCACCTCGCGTTTAGGGGACAAGGACTGCTTTCGGAAATAGAGGTGCCAGTGTGGCTATATGTGTGTATCTTCAACTGTCTCGCTAGATATTAAATGGCCACTGTGAAATCTGTGATGCACAGTCTTGATGGGAGAGACAGAAAGAAAGTACTTGAAGCAGATTCGGCGCCCTGTTAAGTGTTCAATATTAGTAGAATTTCAAGGCCAGTGGCAATCACCATAGCAATAAGTGCATAGAACAACGGTTGAAATAAGTCTAATATCCTGCCAAAGCGTATAGATCTTAAAACTTGCTAATGATCGGAGGACTAATTGGTTACATAAGGGTAAGGTCAAGAATTCAGAGATGCGTCGCGCGCGTAGATTACGTCAGTATCATGTGACATAAATTCCAAAATTTTTTGGATTGTTGCAATTTGCTCCTATCCTGGTCGACCTTCAAACCGAGTCCACTGCCATCCAACGCTACGCCTATTCTAGAGCAATGGCCATGTCCCAAAATGACTCTTTCTTCATGGGGCTTGTCGGTCTTTACATTCTCGACCCTATACCGTACTAATCGGCCCCTGAAACACTACCCACTTCGTTGGGCTATTTATTATGTAGTCGATGACGGGCGCTACACTAACCCTGTTTTCCCCCACACCTTCACGCTATGAACGACGAAGGTTCATCGAAGATTCCCGAACTGCCTACCGAACTCGAAAGAGAAATTTTCGAGCTTACGGCGACACTGTATCCCGGTAGTGCCTACCAGCTAACTACTGTCTCAAAGCGGGTCCAAATATGGTGCGTCATTCTCTCATCGTGCGGAAATTTACTGACGGTTCGTCGCAGGATGGAAATTCTTATATACCAAACGGTCGTCCTTGCCTTCCCAAAGTCGCGGACGAACCTCTTCTTGCGGACAGTCGACTCTCGACCTGCCAGCTTTTTCGCCGGCCACGTCAAAAATCTGTACCTCCCCTTCGTGAGCTATCCAGACGCCCAGAAGGTTCTCTCCGTATGCACCGGTGCAACCAACCTTGCTTGCTGGATGGCTACCCCCAGTCCAGAGCTACTCTCCCTTCCTCGACAACCCATAGAGCGACTGTCCGTGAGTATCGCTACCCTTATGCAATCGTGTGAAACACACAAGCCGGCCTTTTTCCATACGGCTTTCCGAGCGTTGACCCACTTGGATATTACCGAACCCTCAAACCCGCTGGTGGATACTGATTGGTCGGCTCTGTATACACTCCCAAAACTCACGCATATCTCAATTGGGAACTTAGCGGAGAGCCACCATCTATTCCTGCTCAAGGAACTGCTGGCGAACTGTGAATCACTGCTTTGTTTGGTGGTGATTTCAGATGACGGGGAGTTCACCAAGCATATTAACGAGGAGATATATGACAAGAGGCTGAAAATACTTCCGTATTTTCACTATCCCAAAGACTACCTCACGTACTGGAAGGATGTTCAGAGAGGCCTGTCGGACTTCTGGGGATATTTGGAAGATAATTGATGGTGGGCGCGCCGCCGCCTTATTACGTATACTGATACATTACTACGTAGCGAGCGAAAATTTTACGCGTTCAGCGCTGATGACTTCCCCTTTGGATTGATCGCGGAGGGCGACTGACGAAAACACCATCCGTCCATCCAAGGACAAACATCATCTATTACAAGCTGCCAAATCCACACTCTGGGACGAAACTACTACACTTGAGTAGTCCACAGAGCTTGAGCTATGAGTTGACCATGACACTACACGAGATGTTTCCGACGAGAGATCCATGTACTGCTCTGCCAGTGTCTCTCCAAGTGGTCGGATTGCAGTCTTATTCTTGTACGTAGACACGCCCGTCTCATACTTCGTGCTGCCCATAACACGGCATCGTCCTTATATGGCTGGTGGTGAGTAGTCGTTCGGAGCACGAGTTGATAGGCACCCGCTCAGCTATCCATTATGCCGTATGATCTCCTCGGTCCCACACTCGATCCTCTGCCGACATGCAAAGTTGCCGTTGTACAAGAGAAAGGCATAATCGACCCCCTGTTCGGGCTCTTTGCAGCGAGAATGAAAAAGCGCCTCTTAAATTGGACCAGCCTGAGTGGTCTTGAGTATTTTACATAACCCCACACGAATCTAGGCCTTCGATCCATGAAGCGATATCGATTTTGTAACAACTCATCATGCTACTGATGTCTATAAGAAAATGCAACTGCTCAACGGGTGCTCACTACAGCACATCAAGTACGCCACCTGTCCTTCATTGATACTGCGGTTAGATATCCGTCATGAGTCCGGGCCTAAATTTACCGTGACTGACGTCTTCTCCAGCTCTGATCACTGATGCCCGGTACTCCATATATGAAGAGGGCTTTTCAGGACGTCGACATTCCCTCTGAGAGCGGTGGGAGACACCCCGACTTGAGTTTTCCTCGAGCAGTACGGTTGCTTCTTTCTCTGAATGAAACCGTATACTGTATACCACATTCGTTGACTTTATTTACACGAGGAGCACCTACCTATCGAGGAGGGCTAGATGAAACCGTCCACGCGAATCACGATAGAGATCTTACGCCCATGCTGGTAGGAGCGAAGCCTCTGAATGGGAGGCGAATAAGGGCCAATGTCCTTAGACGTCGGTCAACATTGCTCTGCTCCATCTAAATGAAAGTTAGTCTGAAACTGTTGGTTAGGCAAGGGTATCGCACCACCTCCGGCTCGCCGTGGGTCTTTTTTGATCGTTCTACTTCGATTCCTACTCTGACTCTCTTTCTGCCACCGCCGCTCTGCTCCGAACAAGAACGCACGAAAAATTCTGGACCTCTGAGCTCCAACTACGGCGATGTCGATGCGGTGCCACTGCCAGCAGTGAAGTTCATCGTCATCGCGGAATGTCTGGAAATGACTAAGCTGGCGTTTGTGGATGGGATTTATACCTGAAGTCATGGTGAGCGCCCCTGGTGAGACTGTGGCTTTGAGCGGTAACTTTGGATACAGGGCAGGGACAAAAGTATCATATATGGTAGTGTGCATCTGTCGTGTAAACGGAACGGATGCCCACCCTCTGGAGAGAGAACCCCACCGGTGGATTGAAAGTGCGAGCATTAGTTCCGATACGCTATCAAGAATGTACTAGACCCGCGAATACGTCTTCTAGTCGAGATCTAGTCCCGGTCCCTTATTCAGAATCCGGCGAGGCTACACTGCCGGCTATGAAGACTTCATGGGAAAGCAATGCTCTGACTTGGTGGATTTTATTGAACTCTGGTCATCTAAAACGACTACTTTTCGTTAGTCCCACACAGCCTACGACTAATCAATACAGGCACGTCAACAATGGAGAGCGCCGGACCGATGGAGGTATGCTGTCCACCTATTCCGCTGACAGTACATGTTCCGGTACTACGAGGGCGCAACTATATGCTTGAAAAACCTGGTGTGATCGTACGCGTTGTGAGCCCATACTTTCATCCTATCCGAAAAGATCGTGGGTTTGTAGAAGAAGGTGGAGTATTCTGAGTCTGACTAACAAACAAGCTGTCTCTAGTATTTCGCTTCTGGATTCGATATGCCCGTGTACATGTGATGACAAGTAACACGCGTGCTTGTGTCAAGGACTTAGTATGAGAAGAAACCGTGGTAGTAAAGCAATATAGCGGAGATATCGCACAAATGGCCCCATGATTCCCCCCTCTTATCAGATAAGATTAATCAGATATAGTTTGGTTCTCCTCCACGCGTCAAAGGCGTGTTATCCACGGCACGCCACAGACAAGCCCCAGTCGATTCGCCTACGATCTAGCCGCGGTGCAGATGAAACACTGTACGGCAGTACACCTTGTGCTGTCCAAGGTCCCGTAATGTGGTTCTGAATTTCCATCTGGGCATTCATAAGTAGAATATCATTGCCGCATAAAGGGCCATGCACACACACATTAGGCCGTAGCAACCGCCAGTACGAAACCAACGGATGTTCCTTTAAAAAAAAAACACAGCAATGGCTGCATGTCAAAAAAATAGCGCCGTGGTCCTCGATTCGAATAGCAGCGCATGCGAATGGAATAGGACCACTACTGCCTAGATTAGTTTCATAAGAGAAAACAGAACCTACAAAGAAGATCCCCAGCTAGATAATCGATATTTCTCCTTTGTGCATCCGTAAGAAAAACGTTGACAGTAGTCCACGTATTCTAGATGTTTCCGGATACAATAATGAAACAACCTGGTTCTTGGCAGCTGCGCATATCTTGAAAGCCATACGCGAACAAGATTCGTATCCGAAACGTGGATATCATCCGAATTATCCTGTTAGTAGTTTCATGACGGTCCCGACGACATCTGCTTCAGCATAAATCAATCTATCAGACGATCCTATTCCCCACTTCTGTTCACGCACTCACGCAAATCGTATCAGTAATAGAGGAAATCATCTACCAAAGCAGACTGGTAGTTGCCCCGCTGCACAAGTTGATGAGCTAGTATTTAACTTCTTCACAGCAAAAGAATAAGAGTCTGCAAAAAATGTTATTGGCCGGCGGCAAGGGAATACGTAAATGGAAAGTTCGAACGATCACAAATGATGACGCATCGAACTTTGTCTCTGTTAGGGGGGGCTGTTACCCTGGTCCCATCGACTTTGGCGCTTGACCACGACATGGATACTTTCCCTCGCGAAATTTGGATCCGCGTATTCTACTATGCCTGCACTGATGGGGGCCAAACAGGGCGTTCTATCTCTCTTGTCAGCAAGCGGGCGCGTCGCCTTGTCAAGTTCCTCCGATTGAACTCGCTTTGTGTAACCAGTGCAAGGCAGATTATCGGGTTGAGAGAATATTTGGAAAGCTTTCCGATGCCTGAAAGAACAGTGTCTCACCTTTTCATCGCGTCCGCGTATCCGGGTCCAGATACCGGGATCTTCCCGACCCAAATATACGACTCCATGACAAGAATTCTGCAACTCGTGCAATGGACACTGGTCACGTTAACAACTCATCGCCTATTCCTCGGCAAACCTATACTTCCGCACGGTCTTTTCTTCCCGTACCTCACAGAATTGACTCTCTACGACCACTTCAACACCTTCATTGAGCGACGAGCGTTCCCTTCCCTCCGGCGATTACACTTGTCCGTGCTTTCGGGCGGGGAAATGTTAGCTAGAAACATTGGAAAAGCATGCCCATTCCTCACACACTTATATGTCCTTGAGCGCGGCCTATCTCTCACACAGGTCGAGCAAGCCCTTGGCGTCCCCCAATTCTTACCGACCTCGACCACGATATCGGTCACGGTCACCAAATTTCTTCTTCCGCGCACGATACAGAAAGTCCTTGTCGAGACAGACCTCGGGTACATAAGGCGAGATCATACGCCTTCGTCCTCAGATGACGATGGCTACCATGAGTCGCTAAACGACAAGATTGCTCAAGCGGAGTTCTGATTTGACACGTGTTGAGGTTCGATTGGTAGCAAGAGGGGAAGGGAAGTGAGGGAGTATCGTGTCAGCATTATAGGACCATAAAGAGAGGTTCGAGTTTGGTATGGAAGGGCGATGGGATGCCGTACTAGAGATGTGATGTTGTAGAGATCTTTGGGCTATGTCTAGGGTTTGTCTATCTCGCGCTATATTCGGGGGCCTCGGGCGGCTTGAAAACGCACAGACCCGTGGCGACGGCGCCGCAATTACCTGCTTCCTTGACGTGACCTCACGGAGAGTTTCCAGTTATTTTTATTGAATTCGCAGTTGTAGCCTGTTGGACATGTACCGTGGTGTCTTCTGAGTGCCATTAATCATATACCTATAAATAATTCTAACGAGATATCAGCGGCGGCTCGCTCGATTAATCATGAAGAACACACACGCACTCACGAACAGTGAGAAATAGTAATCACAGGATCACAGAGCAGCAGTATAGCATTAAGTAACATAGATATGGAATAACAGAAGGATAACAAATAGCAACGCAAAACAGAGCAATAGATTAAACACAAAGGTCAACAGTTCACGCAACTGTGCCTGACGCTGATATCTCCACCTTCTTTGGTGCGCCGCTCGTGGTACCTGTCATTTTGATCTCCTTCACAAGATCCATACCTTCTACAACTTCTCTGAACACCACATGTCATCCATCCAGCTAAACCAAAAACAGCAATAAGCACCTTGTGATGATAGTAAGTACATCATGGGATGCCTCTTGATCCATTACAGCCACCATCATGAATGTTCCCATGGTTCTCTACCACCACTCAAAGAGACCTCATAGGCCAACAAGGATAGAATAGCATATATAACTTCTGTAAACTCTCACAAAACTCAAAACCAAAACCAAAAACAAACCAATCAAATTATCAATGTCTGAAAGCTCAGACCCACCCAATGACTTTGAGGGTGTGTCTTATAACATGACCTCATCAAACATGGAGGAAATCAAATATGGACACATGATAAAACTTGAATTGGTAGCTGAAAGCATAGAAAAAGGCTATGGTAAAAACATGGAAATAGAAGAAACAACAGTGAGTGCCATATATGATGTCATAGCTATTCTGTGGTACATAGTCAAAACAGAACTGAAAGCTGTAAAATTTGTGACCACAAAACAGATTTGTGCAATGAACAATATGATTGATATGTTAGAAGCTTGAATAAATCTGTTATGATTTTTCCCTTCTCTTTTGCTTTTTACCCCTATCTATGCTTAGTCAGAAGGCACAAGACCGTTGAAGAGGATCTGAGCACGCGCAAGGTGAAAACAGATATAGCAGAGCATTATCCACTGACCACACTCATACCAATACACACACAAAACTCTTAGTTCATGGGGGGATTATAATACGATAAAGTAGTATTCAACAAATGTAATTGTTTTCTTCAATGAGATCACAGTGTGTGAACAGTAATAGCATGCTTACAACAGTCCGAGGTCTCTCTAAGTCTCAAAGCTTTTTGTTTTATCAAAACTAGAGGTGGCAACTGGTGTTGCTGGGCCTCAAGGCAAAGGGGTACTGCAGCTCAAAACAATACGTTGAAACACTCTCTCAAAACTCTCAAATCGTCCCAAGCACAGCTCAGATCAACACAAATCTCTAACACACACAATACACAACTCAAAGCTTTGCGCTCTAAGCAAAAACCAATCACAAACATGTCCACAAGTGCCAAAGAGCACAGATCTCTGTTCACAAGCTTCCAAACCAATTGTAGACCCACAGGATTCAAACCTATGCGATCTAGAGACACAATAACACAATAAAACCCTGTCCGACAGACCAAAGGGTTTGAACCTCTGTCAATCTGTGGAAATAACACAAAAGTGCACACTAATCAAGCTAAAGGGTTTGAACCTCTGCCACCTGTAGTGCCACACATCACAAATACCTCAGAAACTCAAGATGATGCCCTTCAGACACCGCTCTCTTATTCTCAGGTTAGAGCACAATCCAAACCTCTTATCAAACTGGGCTTAAGTCCTTCATGAGCTTTGATGCCTCACTTAGTTCTCACAGCTCTCTCAAGGGTATTCAATAATAAGTTTATTCTCTCACCCAAAGTTACAAACACAAACCCAGAGCTAGAGTGCAAGGCTTTCTGTGCCCAATACACCACAACTGAGGGGGTCGAAAACCTTCTTTTCTACTCATACAATACTATATTTAAATACTCTCCTATGGTACTTACTAATACAATCCTACTATGGTATTCTCAAAGCATGGGACTCCATGCCAGATCCCACAGTTACTATTTGCATGCGTATCACAGTTGCCACACTTATTCACTCCTGAGCCAGGACTGCGCAAGGTTTCCTTGCTTAGCTGACCTCGGCTAGCTGGCCTAGCCCAGTCTGCTCACTTTCTTCTTGCCTCGGTGACACATCTCTGACAGTAGTAGACTGTTCTGGACCCCCAGGGTTATCTCCCATGTCTGGAGTCAGCCACAATAGTTATGTTCTCTTCTCTAGTGTCTCAACATTCTCTTCGGCACATGAAACACACCGCTTCTAGCCTGGCATGTATTAATTAACTTTCCCAATATAGTATATGTCATACCACAGTATGATGTGGAGTCCCTTGCTGTGTTAAGCATGCTAAAGCACCGTTAGTATGTGTGTGAGTCTCTGAGCAGCACATGTGCTATTCATCTCTGAGCATAATATTCCTCTACTTGTCTCCTTGTTGCTATTATTGCGTCTCTCTGTTCAGCATCCAGTTATTCAGATACCTTTCTTAGGGTCCTGGATCTCTGTTCTCAAGCATGTTCCATCAGTGCATCATTGATCAATGTGATCAGGATTGCTGATCATGTTTCGATCATATTCTTTTTATTTTTAGCATGTCCTCTCATGATAGTATTGGCACATTTAGGGCCAAGTGCTGAGATCTCACATGCAGTCTAACCCCTCTGGTATTAGTCTGTTACTAGGCCATGCACTCTGCTTATTGTTACTTCAGTTTAGCATTATGATAGCTAGGTTTCTGTGTGCTCTAGTCCTATTTTCTGTTACATGCTTACTGGACTGGAATGCAGTCCATGTATTTGCAATTTTTGCAATTTTACATGCCTGAACCTGGAGAGGGCATGTCACCGTGGAAGGGCTTAGTCAGCACAACTAAACCACCCATCAGTTGTCTCGACAATCGAGCCCAACGACACACAAGCACTCCTTTTATATATGATAAAAGTGCTCCAGGACAACAGGTACCATAGACACAGACAGACACAATTAGTAGTTGTATTATTAGAAGTATCTGTACAGTATTTAAGACCGACAGCTCTTGCTGGTAACCCCCAGCTTTGAGCTAAAGTTTATATCCATACCATTCTACTCTCGAGCCACAGCATAGCCTTGTAACACACCGAAACCGAAGACATCACACAAGTGAATTCAGGTGATCCCTCGAAGTGTGAAGGGATGCCTGTCTATCACGTGTCTAGGATCACATGTTGCTTGGGCTTAACAATTAGCTCGAAGCTTCTACCTTCCCTCTCTCAAGCCCAATTGTGCTGAGAGACCGAATGCCCCCAGCAACGACTGCCAATCTAAATTACGACTTCTTCGAGCTTATCGCTTCCATAATTGGAACTTTACTCGGACTTCTTGCCATCATCACCCTCTGCCACGGATGACAATCAGTAACAGCTTGGATAGTCAGGCACTACCAGGCGTTCCAGCAGATTCAACAAGTACTATGAAACATAACCCCTGACCTCCCCTTCCATGACATCCCCGCCTCTGCCAGAACATCCTTCCAGCTGCAAGGGCGACCTTTATCAGAAACCAGAAATTACAACCCACATCCGGGGAGCCTTCATGAGAAAGAAGGACCCCAATACCCCTCTCGATGAAACAGCAGAAACCGCCATCCTGCTCTCACAGGGTTCTGGAACCTGTGGACAACGAATGTCATGCAGGAGCCCGAGGAGGTCCCTGATGACCTCACTCCAGCAGCCCCTCCCTCTGAGCATCCTCCCTCCCTAATTCTCTCAGAGATTGGAAACTGTGCTCGGGACTCTCTTGATGCTGCTCAGATGGCTGTGAGACCCCATGAAGGCTCTGACTCACCCCATGACCCCCCCGAGACCCCCACCAAGTCTGACTCTAGCCCCAGCCGGTCAGTCAGTAGATTGGGGATCGACGATCTGCATGGAAGGATCATACACCTCAACTATGCAAACATCGAAATTGCCATCTCAGCGGCAGGAGATCCTTACCAGCACCTCCATGTGGGAAGCGAGCCCGAAGTTGGAACCACCAGCGCAAGAGAAAGGGTGGCTCGAGACAGAATTATCCAGTGAGTATTCTCAGACTGGGACCTTACGGTCCCCTTTGACTATAACAATGCAGTACAGCAGCAGCAGCAGAATCAGGCTTGACAGGAAGAAATCAGGCAAACTCAGGAAGAGCTTGCTGACTACATATGGGAAGAAGCCCGAGAGCGGTACGAGGCTGCAAAGTATGACCGACAAGGAAGAGCACAAAGAAGAAGAGAAGAGGCTGAGTGAATGGGATCAGCCTCACCAGGCTGGTATGGACTCTGCACTGACTCTGGGTCCCCCTTTAAGAAGCCCGACTCAGGAGAAGACCCATGGACAGGACCCACCAGTATTGTCAGCCGGAACGAGGCCATTAGAAGGGGACGAACTGAGAGTCCTTGATCCCCCACTTCTGAGTATTCCACCTGAACTGACACCATTTCTTCAGATGCTGACTCTATACTCGGAGCCTATGGGCTCCGAGTACCAGACAATGCCTATGTCTCCGACAGGGCTCTCTAGCGATTCTTGGGCAGCAGAGTCACTTGACAATTTCTCAACCCCGAGTTCCAACATCACTTCAGCCTCTATAGCTGAGAACTGAAGGAGACAAGAGCATGTGGAGGCACATGCTACAGCTGACTCTGGAACCCATCCATCTATCAAATAAGCCCACGAAACGACACTAACCTCACAGAGCCTAGTATCCAAAATGGCCCAAGAGTCCCCAGCAACCCTTCGACCAGCCGTGCCACTCATCTACGACCTGCCTGGCAGTTTCCTCCCTGAGGAAGGGGACAGCGGGGACAAGGGAGATGAGGAGAGCGACGAGGACAGTGAGGGGCCGTATTCATACCTATGATGATTTGAGCAAGCAGGAGAAGAAACTGACGAAGAGACGTTAAGGGAAGAGGTGGAGAGAGTGCGAAACATGGAATATCAGAAACTGTACAAGCAGGGAAGGAATTTCTTATGGCAGGACACGTGCTGGCAAGCGATGTCTTTAGGACTGGAGTATCGTTATGCAGAAGATACTGAAAAGAAAAGAATTTTACAGTATGCTGCCACAAAGTAT